CTGTGGTATCCATGCTCATTTTTTATTTCTATTATGTAAATTCAAGGAAAAAGAACTACAAGTAGAAACTGAAGACTAGAGGTTTTTGCCAGGACGTATCAGGAAAGAGAGAAGTTAAGGCCTAGGTAAGCTCAGAACTCGGCCATTTTGGGGAGGAGCAGAGACACAGGGTGTAGGGTGATGTTTTGGCTGGGCTGTTGGCAGGATGAGTTGTCCAGAGCCACTTGGGGAATCAGAAAGGGTGGGGAGTTGGGGGTTGCAGCATCTTTAGCCATTAACAGACCTCCATGCACTTGACATTACTTTGGTGACATAGTTGCTACTATGTAACACTAATCTACATTATGTAACAAGTGATGGTTACTTACTTACTGCCCGTTGGCCTCATTCCCCTCGCTGGCACTTCTGCTTTGCTGACTGGTGATTGGTGTCCACTGAGGCCCTCTCCATGGCGATTTCGGAGGGAGGGTGGGGACTCAGGCCTGTCAGCCTCTGTCCACAGGTCTCCTCGCCCAACATGGAGGTCTTGCCAGCTTCCTCCTGCGCCGGGCTCTGGCAGGAATTCCCTGCGCCTGCTGCCGTTCCCATCTCAAGCAAGGGGCCTCCATTCTCAGCCTGGTGGAGGAGGGGACCACAGGGGCTAGCTCCCTGCAGCCCTGCCTGTGAGGGGCAGTTTCCCAGGGCTTCATTGTCTTTTCCAAAGTGCCCCTTTTCATCTGCTCATTCGGCAAATCTTGTTTTCTAAAACTACTATGTACTTGGCCTCAAGCAACAGGGAGTTCTGTGTGAGAGGGGCTTTGCAGAATGTCACTTTCTTCTTATTATTTTTTAAATCATTTTTTAAAAAGGATTTATTTATGCATACAGAACTGGGGTGCAGGCCAGAGGTGGTGAGAGGATTCACCAGAGACAGGGTGGGGAGTTGAACAGGCAGATGGTCGAAGTACACTGGGTGGGTCAGGAGAGGTCTGCCTCGCCATGTGGTCACCTCCAGGGCCGGGGATCGAACTTGCACTGAGGTGGCTGCGGCCAGCTTGTAGTTTTGCACTTTAACCTATTGCGTCATCAGGGAGGACGTCAGATGTCACTTTCTATGTGAATGACATGTTGTTTCAGTCTTCTAAACACCATGCGCTCTCTGTGGTGGGTTCCTGTAACTTTCACAGGCGTGGCGTGGTTGTGCTGGCAAACACACAGCTGGTTGTCTTGAGTTACCCCTCGGTCTTAAGGTCCTGCAGGAAATCCCGCCCTGGCTCCCAGCAGTGTCTGACTCGAAGCTGCCCTCCCCTTGTGACTGGCTGGGTATCACATTAGCACTTGGCTGCGGGCAGGTTGCATCATTCTCTAGTTCAGTTGCTATCCTTTGAAAACTACAACCCCGTTTCTCTTCTCTGGTCTTCTTCATCTCTTTAAATTATTCTGGAGGAGCATTTGAACTTCCCCCATTCATTCCCTCCAGTCACACATTTGACACTGCGTGGATTCTTGCAGACGTTCGTGTGTGTGCAGGTGTGCCTGAAAACATGTGTTCACACGCATGTGTTCCTATAATTGTGTGTGCATCAGTGTGCCCCTGCATCTTTGTCTGCGTGCATGCGTGTGTGTGCCTGCATAGGTAGGTCCCTGTGTGCACTTGTGTGTACATGCGTGTCTGATTCTGAGTGTGTCTACACGGTCAGCCTCCTGCCAGGCCTCAGGACAGTAGTTTTGAGGAAGCAAGGCAGTCACAAGGCCAAGCGGCGGGGCCTGTGCTCCCCCATGACCCCCAGTGGGGGCTCTGTCACAGGAGGCGGGGCCTGTGCTCCCCCATGACCCCCAGTGGGGGCTCTGTCACAGGAGGCGGGGCCTGTGCTCCCCCATGACCCCCAGTGGGGGCTCTGTCACAGGAGGCAGTGTGCTGGCCTGGCTGCGGAGCCACGTTGGAGCTGAGCTGGAGGATGCGAATTCCTGGTCCTGGCTGGCATTCCTTCGGGCCATTTTGCCCTTGACCTTTCCACTGGGCCTGGCAGTCTGGTATGGTGGCCTGCAAATGAGCTCCTTGGCGGTCTCGCTGCGGGTTCAAATTGGGGCATTCTCCTCCCCACCTCCCCTCCTTGCACAGCAGCATCCAGGCAGGGCTCTAGCCTGCCTCGCAGGGTTCTCACCCGCCTTGGGTTGCAGCCTCAGGACTCACAGTGGGTGGGCATGCTGGGCCCAGGCCCCAGGGCACCGAGAGGAGCCTCTGTGAAGTAGCTGGGGTCTGCTTGGGTCTGGTGGGGAGACCCATGGAGGCGCTGAGCTCCTGGGGACAGACCTGGGGCATCTCCCCTTGGGGGGCCAGCTGGTTGTTCTTGGATGGTCAGTCCTCCCACCAGGGGGAGGAGGGTAAACACTGGGTTGCCCTGGAAACCAGCTGAGCTGTGGCTCAGAGTGCTCATGGCTGGAGAAGTTCTTGTCTCAAGTTTCTAGGATGGGTTTCTATTTTGACTTTTTTTTCTTTAATTAGCTGGTGTGACTAAGATACCAAAATGCCTGACCCGGTTCCTATAATTTCTTAATAAACATTTATATTCCCTTCATAGGAGGAGCATTTCTTTCAGTGATTCATGGTCCTTTTCTTTTTAACTGTGGGAAGGACCAGGTGAAGGACCAGGTGGGGCAGCATAGGGGGCCCCTCACTGCCGACAGCTGGCGGGGCCCCAGGCAGGGGTGCGCTGGGCAGGGTCCAGGTGCTGGAGTGTTTACGTAAACACCCCACCAGGACTTTACTGGCTTTGTGGTTGACGAAGGGAAAATTGGAGGGAGATGATGCTCAGATTCTCCAGAACTGGAACTTCTGGAAGTCGCCTGATGGATTGGCGGGTCTGTCTGCGCTCAGGCAGCTTGTGCCCCACTGATGCGGGCTCCCTGGGAGGACAGGGTGTGGGCTGGCCTTGGGCCTGGTAGGGGGAGGCAAAACAGAGCTGCTTCCTAAGGAGCAGGGGGCTGCGTGTGCCACGGTGGGTGACTTCCTGTCCACCTGCCCCTGTCTCTGGGATCCGCAGACGGAGGGCCAACTCAGGAAGATCCAGCGGGTATGCTGCTGTGGGCAAGATTCCACAGCAGCAGGTCTTCATACAGGCCTCGTCCTTCACCTGCTCTGTCTAGCCGTAAATAACCGACCCATGGTCACCGCCACTGCCGGGAAGAGCCAGGGCGTGCACAAGACAGCAGACTTCATCTTCTCATCAGAGAGGCTGACCCGGGCTTCCCTGTCACCGCGGGCATGCAGGACCCCTTGGGACTCTTCTGGGACACTGGCAGGCTGAAAAAGTGCTGGGCGGGGCTGGATTACCTTGTGGACCACCCTTCTCGGGCCTCCCTGCCCACCACAGGCCTGGACCTGCTCACATGACCTCCGTGAGGGCAGGGCCCACCCACACAGGAGGACACGTCAGATTTGTTGCTTTCCTCTCCGGGCACCTGCCCTGGGCCTGACACAGGGACGCGGGCAGCCCCGGGCTGCAGCAAGCCCGCACCTGCTGCACTGCGGCCGGCCTGCAGCGCCCCTCTTCACCTGGACACTCAGCGGCCTCTTGCCATCCTTCTCTCTTTGCAAGGGACCCTGTCGGATGACAGGGACAGAATTTGATTTTTGGCTGAAGAATTCACTTTACTAGTTTTTTACTCAGTGATAATGAAGCATCATTAAAAGCCTGGAAAGCCCAAGGCTCTAACACAGCCTGCGGGGTTTTGTGACCACGCAGCATGCACCTCTGTGTCATGCATTGGCTTTGGCTCTGCACCCCGCGTCTCTGCTGCAGCTTGCGGTCGGCCACATGGGGGTTTGACCTCAGGTGTGTCTCACTGGCCTGCTTAAGAGCCTCTCGGTGTTGCATTTCTAGCTGAGAAAGACCAATTTATGTGATTATGCTTTGCTTAGAGACAGACCAGAGGGACCCCGGGTTTGGAGGGAGAAACCCTGGGTTTTCATCTCGACAGCAGGTTGGGGCATGCGACCTCTGAGGAGAGGAGGCAAGTGTGTACGAGTGTGTCTTGTGAATGTGTGTCTGTGCTGTGCGTACATGTGGTGTGTGGTGTGTACATGTGTGCATGCACGATATAAGCACTGCGTGTCGTGTATGTGTGGCACGTGCTGTGTCCCCAGGCATGGGAGGCATGTGTGTACATGTGACACAAACGTCACATTGCAACAGGTTTTGTGCACGTGTGTGTCCACATGGAGACATGCGTGCACACATGTACACGTGTGCTTGTCTGTGGGCAGGTGTGTGCACACTTGTGTGTGAGTTGTCTTGCATGCATGCATGTGGTGTGGACAGTATGTCCATCAGTGTAGCATGCTGGAGCAGGATTGTACCACTGTGATACTGTGATACTGCTCAGAGGCACCTGAATGAGCAGACATTCTTATTGCCTTCTCTTTTGAAAAGAAACAAACAGACAATTTGAACTAGCCTTTGAAGTAGGCGCCAGCTCACGCCCCAGGCTTCTCCCAGAGCTCCCCTTTGCTTCTCGAGCTTCTTGTGGCCCAGCTGTGAGCCCAGCCTTGGCTCCAGTCTGCAAGAGGCCCATCTTGGGTTGTTTGAGGCCAAAGCAGGACTGGCTGCAGAAAGGTGGCACACATGTGAGGTTCTGGGAGCCATCTTGTTGCTCTGGAGACCCCTGCCTGGTGGGCTCTGCTCAGACTGGGAGTGGCTGCCCATGTCAGGTGAGTCTCCTTTGTTACCTGGTCTTCCCACGTGCCAGCCCCTCTACCTGACTAGGCTTTACAGAGCAGAGGTTGGCAAATTGGAACCTGAAGGTGAAGGTTTCTAGAGCAGTTCTGGGTGGCCCCTCTGCTTGTGGTGGGCTCATGGGCGACGTCACCCCTTCTGCCCCTAGAGAACAGTCTCCACCAGTCTCACAGTGAAGGGCTGTGCGGGCCAGCTGTGCTGGGTGAGTCCCCCAAGTGGAAGGACTTTCTGAGTTCACGTGTGCTTGTGCGACTCCAGGACTGTGTCGTTTTGGACCCAGGCACCATGGCGGTTTTCTGGCTGGCAGCCGCTTCAGCCCAGGATGGTCAGAAGCCCGTTGCAATGAAGCTACTTCGTGGAGCACCTCAGATGCGTGTGCGTGCGGCGGGGATCCCACTCAGGACTCCGCTTGCTATTTTTATGCTGTTCCTGGGCAGCTCTGCTCACTGCTCACATCCTCTCCCGCATCTTGTTTACATGAGTAATTGCTTCTCGAGCTTCCTGCTATCCGTGGATATGATTTTTGGTTTTTTTTCCTCCTTTCTTTTTTGGGGCAGTAATTCTATATTTACAGAGGGGAGACTGTTTCCCCAGGGGAAGCACGGAAGCGTTCTTGAGGCTGGCTCTCAGCTGGGAGCGCTTTTTGTGCCCTGTCCTGCCTGCTTTCATCTTCCTGTGAGTGTTTGGCCTCGGAATGCTTCCTGTGTGGTCTGAGGTGGATGTTCTGAATGAACGGGAGAGCCCGGGGCATTTATTCTGGGATAAAACCTGAGCCACCAGCCTGGCCTCCCTTTCTCTGTCCCTGTGTCTCGCTGTCCCAGTGGGTATCCACAGATGTCCCTCTGTGCAGTGCCCACTGTCATTGCTGGCAGCATTCTGGGAGCAGCCTCTGGCTGGCACTGAGTCAGTCCCTTGAGGATTCCGTGTCTGTGCGGCCCCACCCAGTTGCTGCTCTGCGGCCTGGGGGCCTCTGCTCCTTGCAGGCAGAGGAGACCTCCCCCAGCCTCTGGCTGTCCCCCACGGCACAGCAGGGCACGGGAGGCCTCTCCCAGTCAGAGACCTCACCACACCTGTGTGGCCTGTGCCAGCTCTCACTCAGTTGTCTGCCCAGCTGACTTGGGGACAGTTTCCATACATATGTGTATGGAATACCCATTTGTGTGATATTATCCTTGCACCTTCGGGATGGGCAGGACGTATGGGGGTGCTCCAGCTGTGCCCCTGGCTCCCACTCGTCTCTCACCTCTGCTGCCCGCCCGTAGGTGAACTTTGCTCACGGGGAATAAATGTACCTGTTCCAGATACTGTGGACAAAGCGTAAGTCCTGGGAGACCCTGAGGAGGCAGGGCTGGGGCAGGGAAGGGGGGCTCCATGGGCCAGGAGAGATGGAGGGGGCTGGCTGGGGTGTGGAGATCCAGGGGTGGGGCCAAGGGCCACCTGAGACGGAGGGAGAGAAGCGCTAAGGTAGCCCTCTACCATCGGGCGGGCGCTGCATGAGCTCTCTGAGAGGGAAAGACAGGCAGCGAATCGCCCAGGGAAGAAATGGCTAAAGGAACAGAGGGGGGTCACAGTGGCCATGCCTGAGAGCTGCACCCACACGCTTTTACTGAAAGTGAGACACTTACTTCCAAGTCATTTGGGAAGGCTAGAAAAAGAAGAGGTTGCAGCACCCTCACGCCCAGAGAGTACTGTGGCTTGGTTTGTCCCCTTGATTCCCAGTGTGTGTCCCTAGGAGGTCCCCCTGGTGTCCGAAACATGGTGGCTGTGACTGCAGACGCCCACACTGGCTTGGATTGACGACGTGCCAGGCCTCCGTGTCTTGGGCTCCAGTGGGCAGCTTCAACCTCTGGGCTTGCTTTTCACTCCATCGGGGGCTGCTTTCACGAGAACCAGAGTACAGGAGTGGTGTGGGGTGCTGGGTCCTCTGCAGCTCTCTCTTCCCAACTCGGGGGGTTCCTGTCACCTGCTTTGGACAGTAACTGGAGGAGACCGAGGACCAGTGGAGATGTGGCTGCCTGGTGCTTTCTGGCGACCCTCCTGTGTGGTTGCTGATTTGGGCCCAGCGGTTCCAGAGCCAGGGAGGGACCACGGCAGCCTCTCTGCCCTCTGGCTGGGCGCCGGTGGGAAGTCTACCACCTGTCAGTCCGAACAGAGAGTGGCAGTCCTCTCTGATGGCCAGGGGGTCCAGGGCCCTCGGTGGGGTGAGGAGCCTCATCCTTGCACTGTGCCAAGGCCCCCGCCCTCTGGGCAGCCACCTCCCCTTTCCCTTCAGGGGCCTCTGCTTCCACAGGCAGAGATGGTGTTGGGGAGAAAGCGGCACCCGCCAAGCTGCGCCTCCCTCTCTCCTCTCTGACTGTGCAAGAGCAGCAGGCCTAGGAGCAGGGGCCCCTCTCTCCTGGCGGTGGGGCAGCTCCGGTGCGAAGTGCGGTGTGAAATAACAAAGAGCAGAAGAGTTCACATGTCCCTGGAATTCACATAAAGTTAGAGAGTGGGATAGGGATCAGTCCATGGCCTCAGCTGAACTGGAAGTGCTTAGGGAGGTGCTGAGAGGGCCAAGTCCTCGGAGAAGTCTTCAGGGTTTGTGAACTGCTCTCTGGATGATAGACTCTTTACCAAGTAGAGCCTCACAGAGAAATTACCCTGACCTCCCAGAACTGGGGTGTGGTAGGGCCCATGGTTCCTGTTTGTAAGCCAGTGTGCATGGGGTGTGTAGGGGGAGGTAGAACTGGCCCCTGGAAGGCCACCTGCTTGTCCCACAGGCTACCAGGCCGGCTGCTCAGGGTCCGTCCTGGGCTCCTCCACCTGGTACTGGCCCTCAGCCTGGCAGGTGGACATGGTTTGAACTCCATCTCCTTCAGAGCTCAAGTGGGAAGGATTTGGTCCCAGGCGAGGATGCTGCCCTTAGGTACCGTTTTTGCCAGATGCTTAAATAAACCTGGTCTGTCAGGGACTGACTGTTTGGTTAGGGGTTACTGTCTTGTATATAGAACAGAGTGTGGCTAAAGGAGGTGAGGTCCAGGTTGGTGCCTTGTGCCTGTTCACCCTCCCCGAGCTCTGCAGAAAGTGGTCAGCATCTCAGGAGGCTCTGGCCTGACTTCAGAGGGCCCACAGGGTGACTTTGGTCTGGGTACAGTCCTCTGGGTAAGCCCAGGAGCCAGCCAGGCCCGGTGAGCCCTGAAAAGCCTCGACCCAGGCCAGCACTGTGGCCAGCACCACGGCCCAGGATATATTCAGAGCCACAGCAGTGCCCGACAGTTGTGGGGATAACTCCAATTGGCTCTCGTGTAAGTGACGACAAGAATAGGGACACTCAGAGGGATGATGGTGGACATTCAGCTAGCGTCCCACAGCGTTCAGGAAGGACTTACCTTTTCAGATGACCCCCATCGCTCTCCCTGAGCTGGGTGTGGCCAAAGGTCAGATGTTCGCTCCTCTCTTACTATGGCTTAGCTCGACTTCCAGGGTGGCTTCTTGGGTTCTCGACGTGGGCCGCTCCCTGACCGTGGACCCACGAGGAGGCCCCGCCATCCTTGCCCTTCTGCAAAATCCCTGCCTCTATCCCAGCCATGCCTTGCTGTGGTGCTACCTCTGAACATACAGGTGGGCTCTCTGGAGGACGTGACGGCACTGCTGAGGGTGGTGGCAGGCGCTGTGCCCTGGGTGGCCCCGCTGCCTGCTGGCTATAACCCAGCACTGGGCCTGGTCTGTAACCCAGCACTTTCCTGGTCTGGTCACTGGGCAATTTTCTGGGTGGTGGCAGAAGCCCACCAGAGCAGGTTCTCGTGGCTGGGTCCCACAGTACCGCTAGTGGGAGTTTTATCACTCCTGACACGGAGGCAGGGAGGAAAGAAGAAGCCAGGAGCCCATTCCAAGCCCATCCCACTGCCACAGGTGCTCCTGAGGCTGCGGAAGACCAGTGCCTGCAGAGGCCAACGGGAAGTCCCTCTGGCGGAGGGAGTGGAGAGGGTCCTGGGCTGGGCCAAGTCCTGCATCTGGCCCCGCCCCCCAGCGGCCCAGTGACTGGCCTTGTCCCGGCAGGGGTTGGGCTGCTTCTAGATTTGTTTTCATTTTCAATTCCCTTTATTGCTCAAACCACCTCAGGGCCGCAGAAAACAAACCGTTATCCTTAGCTGACCTCGGATTCCTGGCCTCAATTGTTTGCCGTTTGCTAATTTTAGCTTCTGATCATTTCCACCCTTATCCTCCCCCCAAAGGGAGACACAGACCAAGAATAGTCGCCAGGAAGGGGGGCTGCGGCCTTTGTGGCCAGAGTCCCACAGTGAGCTGGCAGAGTGCTGGGGTAGCTTGCTGTATTGGCCTTCCCCATCCTGGGTGGGTGGGTTTGGGGGCCCCTATATAGACAGGGGATCCCCCATCCCCTCTGACTGTACATCCTGCACCCACAGGCACTGATGCGTAGAGGGCAAGAGGGGTTTCTCAGTCTCTGTTTCTCTTTTTAAACAAAGCAGGCTGCTTCTGGGAAAGGGCATCTCTGGGGCTCCCAGACTCCAGGACCAGATAGACATGCGTAGTCCAGGGTCAGACGTGGCGCTTGGCCTCAGCAAGGTCCAGGAGACAGCGTCAGGCCTGAGGGCCCAGTGTGGCCGTCCCGCCCAGTTACAGGCCCTCCTTCCAGCCTTGGGAGCCAGCCCAGAGCCTCGTGGCTGACCTGGGCCAGACTTTGCAGGGCACGCCCTGTCCTCAGGAGGGGAGGGAGGGGAGCAGCTGACCAACCCCAACCTGGGGTGTGCAGCAAGTAGGCGTAGGGACAGCCAGGATGGATAAAAGAGGCCTCCAGGCTGGGCTTGAGGCAGTTACACCTCACCTCTGCATGGTCATTTGCCTCCCCTAGGGAGAATGTCAGATGGACCCCGGGGTTCAGAGGAGCATGCAACAAATACCTGCACCCACAGCCTCTCCTCACCCAGAAATCTCAGACACTCGTTTTATCCATAACAGTTCTGTGCTGCACATTAAAAAAAAAAAAAAAAAAAGCCCCACAAGTCTAATCCTAAGGTCACAATAGCAAAGACAGGCAGTGGAATAAAGGAAGCTGAAGCCCCAAGTCTGGGTCCCCAAGCTGAGGGCTGGGCTCACGCCTCGCTGTCCCCTCTCCTCACGTCAAGCTTTCCTGCAGGCAGAAGGCAACACACACACTCATGAATTGAAAAGTGATAGCAATAAGGGCCGTCCAAAGTGCTGCCAGGTAGCACAGCTAGTCAGGGTGGGGCCAGGTGGCCCCAACAGTATTTCTGTGGTGTGCGAGCGGCTGACACTTGAGTTTGGGCTTGGTTTTTCCGTTGGGCTTGGTGTGGCGTTTTTTCCTTGTGGTTGCTGGTGGGATTTGGAAGGCCTGGCCCCACTCTCTGGACCCCTGATGCTGCTGCTGGGAAGGCTGAAACATTCTGTTCCCTGACCGCTGGCCCCTGACTCATTCCCTCCTCCGGAAGCCAGGCTGTGTCCATACCCCAGGTTCCAAGAACACCGCAGGGCTGGCTGGCCCAGGCCGCTGCCTGCAGGGCCCTAGGCTTCTGGGGCTGGTCCTTTCTCCAGCTCTGGCAGAGGACACATTCTGTGTCCCGGGGCTCTCGGGGAGCCTTCTGGACTGGGTGCACTGGGCGCTGCCTTTTCTGACTGCCCTCCCTCCGCCCCCCATCTGTATCTGGCTGTCCTCTGTGAGACTCTCAGCGTTCTTTAGTGCTGCCATTGAGACTGAACTCTGCCTCCTTTACCCGATGCGTCTTTGCTTTCAGACTTGGGTTTCTGGGTCCCCCACTTAAGGTGCATCCTGTCTTGGCCTCATGGCCGCCAGATGGGACCCCCCAAGTCGAGCGCCTGTCCCCACACACCGTGGCCTGCGTCCCCCTGGCTGCCTTCTCCCGCGCTGGTGTGGCACTCTCACCCACATGCTCGAGTCATAGGCTCTTCCCAGGTGTCTGGTGATCCTGGGGGCCTGGGGCTACTCCCAGAGCTGGGTGGGTGGTGACTTGCGGTAAAAGAACCTGTCCTCCAGCCCGTTTTTGGGCGGGGACCCTGGCCTCCCACCCCCGGGGTCACCAGTGCAGAGTCCCTGACCTGCTCGGGTAGGAAGCTGGTCTCCAGCAGGTGCGAGAAAGGTGGCAGCCGCCTGTGAGGCTTCCTCAGTCGCACGCGCTGTCCGCCCTCAGCCCCCCTCACCCTGCCGCAGGGCTCCTGCGCTTTTGGGGGCTGCACCACATGCAGGATGCCACAGGCGGCCTCCTGAGGTCAGTGGGCAACAATAGGTGCCTTACGCTTTGTTTCCAGCCTCCCAGTGGTGGTGGTCTTCCTTTCCCTTTCATTTTTTTTGTTTTACAGGGACCTGGGCAGAAGGTACTGCCCTGCCTTTTCATCCAGTGTTCCTGTTGGGCCTGTGGCCCGGGAGGTTGGGGAGAAGCGTTGGGTACTGTGAGGCCTCCCTTAGTCAGCAGAGCACCCCACCCCGCCCCGCGCCCCACCACTGTCACCGTCCTGTTGTGGAGCCTCTAGTTGGCAGTGTTCTGCTCTTGGCCTTGATGCTATCTGGGCATGACAGCCAGAGCCACAATGGGCAGTGTCCTCAAAGCCAGTGAAAGCAGCTCAGAACAAAGACAGGTGTGCAGGGCAGGAGAAGCCTGGACCTCGGGTCAGCAGGTTAATCGTGTGTCCTGGTAGGGACCGTCCAGGGCCGTCGCAGCCTGAGCCTTCTCCTAGTCCTGTTGCTGCGTGCATGTAGCTGAGCGTCCCACCCGCAAGCACGTGCCAGCAGCTGCCCTACAGCACTGGACACGCTCCAGACAGGAAGCAGGGGCAAGGGCGGCCAGAGGGGACTCGGCCCTCTGTCACAGGCATGTGCCCAGTGGCTTACCCAGAACACCTTGGTCAGGACCTGTTCTCAGGGCCACTCCTAGCTGCAGGGCATGGGGAAGTTGGTGTTTTCACCTGGTGCGCTGTTGCTGCAAAATAAAGTGCTTTCCAGGGGAAACATCCAGGGAAAATGAGTGTGGCCAGTAAACACTTAGCTGCTGCTGCCCCCAAAGTCTCATGCATTTGTCCTCAAGGTGGACACTCATTGATCAGACGTAGCCATTGGCAGCGATGGCCACTGTGTGAGCCAGTATGCTCAGAGCATTTGAAAAACCTTGAAATCACTTTCTCCAGCATTTACTTTGCCCCAAACAAGCAAGACTGTTAGTAGCCACGACGTGTCGGCTTATTACTCAGAAACAAGCTTTGGAGTGATGGCAAAATGGGGGTGGAACGGGTTGTGGATAATTTCTTGTCTGAACTAGAGTCACTAGGTCTCCTTAACCACCTCTTGGCTGACCGTTTCCTCAGACTTTATTTTCCTGACCTGGAAGGTTTAGGTGTGCTGGCCAGGTGTTGTGCAGCCTGTCGGTCAGTTTGCACTCGGCGATGTTTTGCCTCATTGGCTGGGTTTACGGCTTGAGGGGGCGGCCGCAGGGCTGTAGAGGCTCCTCTCCCGTGGGCTGTGACTTGTGCGCTGCTCGCTTCCTTGCTCATGTGTTCCAGCCTGGACTGGTGTCTCTGCAGGTGGGCTCCTAGGTCCCCATGCATGCCCGCATCATTTTGGGTTTGAGGGGGCATTGCTTTACCTTCTGCTATGACAAGATGCTTCAGGCCCCTCTTGTATATTTTCCTGCTCGTGCCCCAGCATTTGTCTAAGGATCCCTGGTTACTCTGACTAGAACATGGCCTTCAGAATCCAGGACTTGGGTGCCATTATGCCCCTTTGCTCATGGGGTGCCTCTCCTTCGTCGCCTGGCCGAGCAGACAGAGGTCTGTATGTGACCCAGCCTGTTCACACACACCTGCTTGCACCTCTCTCTGCTCTGTGCATACTGAGCTAGGCTGGCGTCCACCCTTGGCTCAGCGCAGGGGCAGCCCCTCTGGCCGTCCCGCCCCGCCTGACAGCTCTGCAGCCTCCTCTCCCACCGCCCTCCGTGCCTTCATCCGCTTGTTCAGGCTCAGTGAGCACCGAGGCGGTTTCAGAGTTGTTTACCCGCTCACGAGAACCCAGAGCAGCACTTAAGTACAGTTCCTTTTGTCTACAGTCTCGGTTTCCGGTCAGAAACCCTTTTCCCAAGTTACTCAGATCAGCTCCTCACCCCCTACCCCCAAGTGGCCCTGTCACACATCTGCATGCTGGGGGCGTCTGGTCGAGCCTGCCTTCCAGCTTCGGCACCCCCACTCTCCTCAACATCTTTAACATTCGTGTACATTCAAGTGCAATCCTGGCCACACACATTTCTGTGGGCGTTGACAAACACCACCCTCGGAGCAGGAAGAACGGCCCTCTTGCTCCCCAAACTCTCCCTGGTTGTCAGCTCTCCATTGTGGTCAACCGCTCCCTGATCCCCAACCTCTTCAATCCTGCTTATGTTTTCTGGCCTTAGCTTTGCCTCGACAAGAGTGTGGTATGAAGGAAATCACACATAGGCAGCTTCCTGGGTCTGGCTTCTTTGACTTAGCCGAATACGTTTACACTTCCCCCGGGACGGAGCGTGTGAATCAAGAGCTCCTTCCTCTTTGATCATTTGAATCATATGGCTCCACCACAGCTCGTCTGCTCACCTGTGGACAAAGTTCTCTTCCAGTTTTGATGATCTGAATAAAGCTGCTGCTGTGTGTTGGGGTTGTGTGTGAACACCAGTTCCTGTGGGGGGTGCCTAGGAGGGCTGTGCCGGGGTGTGCCCCGAGTCTGTTAAACTGTCCGGGACGCCGCTGGACTGTGGTACAGCCGCCACCAGACGCATTCTCCCAGGCAGTGCTTTAGCGTTCAGCTGCGCCCCAGCCTCGGCATTGCGGGGCTCTGCGGCCGTCCTCCCGACTGCGGCCCCCTGTACCCTGCGCTCTGCCATGACACATGAGCACCTTTGCTCAGCCGCTTGCCACCTGCGTCTTCTGTGGGCCCTTTCTTGAGAGTTAAGAGATTCTTCTATATTCTAGATAGGCGTTGCCTTTTATCTGATCAACCTCAAGTGAAGAACATTTTTATTGAGCGAACAAATTGCGTCTGTAACTGTGGATTCCAGACTCCTGGCCTTGCTCTCACTCATGCCCTTGATGTGTCAGAAGATCTCGGAAAGAGTCAACTGAAATTTCAGTAGTGATGAGGGCTGGCTGAGCAGTGAGGACCACAGATTCCCAGAACTGGGACGCCCATGGCAGTGGGGGTGGGGGAGCACGCCTTTCAAGATTTCAGGAAGGAGATGGGCGGCTCAGTTCAGGGAAGTGCTCCTGGCTTCCCTTGGAGGCAATTAGTGACAACCCTGAGAGCGGAGAAAAGGAGTGGAATCCTGGGGACCTCCACCTGGAGGGGACCCTCCCCGGTGCAGGCCAGGGTCAGGAGCTTGGGCCAGTCCTGCAGGGTGAGTGCTGCACCTCCCTCCCTGCATGGCCCTTCAGGAGCAATGAGGGGTGTCTGTGTGTACGTGTGTATTCCGGGCAGACACCTTGATGGCAGAAACCACTGGTATTTTATTATTATTGTTTTTAAAGGGACCTCGGGAACGGAAATTTTCAAATGTGTTTTGTAACCCTTAGCAAAAGGGGTTGGGGTGGGAAACACCTTTGTGAAATTCCTGGCATGTGGTTCTCTGACCTTGCAGGGCCTCATGCACTCCATGTGTGTAAATTAGTGCAACTCCTTTACTGGAGGCCGAAGTGACGGGTTCTGTGGCAGCAGGCCGAGCTAGTGAGCTGGAGCATGGCTGAGCCTGTTGATCTTTTGTAATAGAAGCTTGGAGAGAGAGAGAGAGAATGAGTGTGTATGTGTGTGTGTGTGTGTGTGTGTGCAGCTTTGCATCCTTTCTGGCTGCAGAAAACAATTCAGTTGAAAAGGGTCGGCATCAAGAGGGCCTAGGGTGCATGGACCTGTCTTCCCAAGATCAGGCTGCTTCCTGCCGTGGTCATGGCCTGCACCATGCATGCTTCCTGTGTGCTTTTGGGCAGTGGGCGGCCCTCAGGGTCTTTCCCCTTGCTGGCTTGGGAACTGGGCTGCTCCTGAGTGGGCTCCTGTCTGGGAATTATGATGACTGTAGCCTCTGTGCTCACCTTCCTCATGACTTACACCAAAGCTAGTTTCGGTGACTCTGGGGTGACCCTAGGCTGTCTGGAGGAGGGCATGGGAATGGAGTGGAGGAGAAGCAGGCTGGAGGGCAGGCAGAGTGGGAGGAGGAGGGACCAGCTAGGAGGGCCATGGGCAAGACCCCAGCTGGCCTGTGGCAGGAAAGTCTGGCCTTTGTCCGCTGAGCCCTGCAGGCCCTCTGGGCTGGCTCTTGCTCACCCATCAGGATGGCCACCTGTCTTTCTCTTGGGCAGGTGCAAAGAGGGCTGGTGGTGAGGGGCGGGCCCTGCTCCCCAGCTTGTGTGTGCACGCCTCAACAGAACTCCGGTTTCCTGAGGGACCTCAGATCACTACCCCATCAGTCTGCTCTCTGCAAGGGTGTGTTGGGAACCAACTGGTTTCTCCAAAAGACACCAGGCATCAACCCTCTGGTCCTTGTGACCAGGAGGCCAGCACCCTTGGGCAAGTGGGAGGGACAGTGCCCCGGGCTGCTGAGGGGGGGCCTGGGAATGCCCTGGCTCCTCTCTGCTGGTTTTGACAGGCTTTTCTAGAAATAGAGGCAGCAACTGACTTGTCCTTTTTCATCCACACCAAGACAAGGATTATCATAAGGTGACATCCTCTGTTTGACTTGCTTGATAATGCCAACCCTGAAGAAAGTAGATTGCTTTGTTATGTTCTGCTTGAAACCTTGTGCTGCTTCCTGTACCTGGAGCCAGCCAGGCCTGGGTGCCAGGCTTGGTGGACGCACCTGCCGCCTGCCCCAGCCGAGCCTGCTGCTGAGCGTGTTGCCTGCTGCAGCCCTTCTTCAGCAGTCCCAGCTCCTCCCAGTGCAGCTCTTCCTGCTGAGGGTCTGGGGCTGCCTGCCCAGGACCCACCGGGTGTTCAGGCAGGCACCCCCTTCCCTGAGGAGCTGGGGGCCCTGGGGTGCAGAAGGGTGTGCATTGATGGTTGTGTGGGATGCCTCTCAGCATGGGGCATGCAGGCCCCTGGGCCCCTCCAGCGGTGGGGCATCGGCCTCTGCGTCCTCTTCAGCTCTTACCTTCTGGGGCATTCGGGGCTGCGGTCAGCTCGGGCAGCTCCCTAGCAGTTCCTGTTCCGTGGTGAAGGTTGGGAGAATGTCTTCTGGGTCACCTTGAAACTCTGAGGCCCGGCCATAGTGGGCGTGTGAGTTGATGGGGTCATTTTGACTTTGCAGCTTCAGTCCTGTTTCTGCTGACACCCCCATCTCTCCCTCAGGGCAGGTAACAGAAGCCGGTGCTGGCAGAAATGAAGTCCATGGCACCCACCTGTAAAGTTAGGTGCTGGCTGCTGTCTCTGCTGGGAGACCCTGCCTGCCCCCAGGCCCTGAAGGCAGGCCAGGATGAGGAAATGAAGGCTGGGGCGGAGAGGCCCAGGAAGCGGAAGTGGGCAGAATGTCCCAAAGGCTTCGCTGAGAAGGGCCCTCCCTCCTGTGCACAGAGAGCGGGGTGGGGGTGGGGGCTTTGTGGGTGCACAGCAGATGGCAGCAGGGAAGGAGCCATTTTTTCCATGCTGTGGCCCCAACCAGGGTCCCTGACTGACCTTGGAAAGCTCTGTTCCTTTGGGGATGGGCGGGGCCAGCTGCTCAGGTCACCCAGGACTTGCCTGTGTCCAGGAGCAGCTCAGCTCCTCTGCCAGTCTCTCTGGGCCTCCCAGCGACTGGTGCCACCCCTGGCGTCACAGCCCAGCACGGGCAGGCAGAGGCTTTTCTGTACTGTGCCTCCACCCCCTCACCCCGCACCCCGCCCCCCTCGTCCTGACTCTGTCCTCCTTATTTTTGTCTTTTATCCAAGGGAAAGCCCTCTCCCAGAAGCCTGCACAGCCCTCCCAATGCCCACCTTCTCACCAGACCCTGGCAAGGGGATCTCTTTCTCCTGCCTGGAACTTGGGTCTGTGTCCTGACAGCTGGATGTACCGTCTGGGTGGCAAGGGGGAGGGCTGGCGGCAGCACCTGCCCTGTCCGTCCACTCCAGCTGGTTTTCAGCAGACAGTCGTGTGAGGGTGGGGACACTGACTTTTATGGCAGGAGCGTGGTATTCAGGAGCCCCGAGGGGCCTCTGGCACATGATTATAAGCCTGGTCTGCTGCTGTTAAAATTCCTCACTGTTGTCTAATAAGACTGTCAAATTGTTTATCAGGGTGTGTCCTCCAACAAGACAATTTGCTTCATGACCAACCCCAGGGCTCCTGGGCCCTGGAGTCCTGCTCTGGGAATGCCTTCTAGAAAGATAGATTGGACATTTGCTATTTTCATTTCTCAACCTCCAAGAAGCTCCATTGGTCTCCATCACATCCTGGGTAGAATCACTGTAAGGGACCCGATCAGAAAGGTGCAAAGAGAGTCGAGCAACTTTTACTGCTGTTTCTGTGTTGGTTGGTATGATCATGGTGCCAGGCTTTCCTGGTTTGCTGGGGATTTTTTTTTTAAAGATTTATTTATTCATGCATACAGAACTGGGGTAAGGCCAGAGGTGCAGAGGTGGCACAAGGCTTCACCTGAGACAGAGTAGGGAGCAGAACAGGCAGACTGATGAAGTACACTGCTGAGGGGAGCAGAGGGCGGGTCAGGAGAGGTCTGCGGATCACCTCCAGGGTGGGGATCCAAATGGCTTTCGCTTCTCAGTGCTGTGCTATAACCCGCTGCGCCACCAGGGAGGGCCTTAGGGATTTTTTTTTTTTTTGACCTTTTGAATTGGGTAAATATGTGTGTGTGTTTCAAGATTCAAGAGGTATAAATGGTTTTCCAAGGAAAATTCTTCCAATGCCCCTTGCCCTCTATCTGCCCAGCTCTGCCCACAGGTGGGCTGGTTCTGAGCCTCTCCCAGCCCCCAGCAGATCTGCTCTATTATCCCGCCATCTCCTGCATTCTGCAGGAAGCCTGGCTTCCCTCACTCGACAGTGTTGCTTAAGAGGCCTTCCTGTCTCAGCTGAAAAAAACTCATGCTACTTCTTCTCATCCTGTTCTGCTATGTGGGTGCTCCATAGCTGATATCATGGGTCCCAGCGGACGGGCATGGGCTGCCATGCTCTGCCGCACCATGGAATCAAGCACACATACGTTTCGCAAATGTGCAGGTGTGTCTGGATAGGTTCTCAGAACTGAGCTGTGAGGTCATAGGTAAGATGCTTGAAATTTTGATAGGTATCAATCACCAAGCCACTGTCCTCCCATTCTCACTTCCATCAGGAGTGGGAGGGGCTGCCTGCAGCCCCGCTACCTGGAGAGGCAAAGAGTAACCCGCGTGGGATCTGGTTGCTCTGTCCTTTTCGTATCCTGTGCTGCTGTTGGGGGGTCGTTTGCGTTTCCTTCTTGTGGCTCAGTTCCAGTCTTTGCCCATGCGTCTGGAGTGTGGCTTCTGCCTCTTGCCTGGGGCCCCTGCTGGAGGTTAAGCCTTCAGGTGGGAGCTGTGACCGTGTTTCTTGCCAGCTGTCATTTCTCTTTTCCCTCCGCTTAGGGTGACTTTGTCCGGGGAGAAGGGTTTCATATTTTGGGAGTCAGATATATCTATCAGTCTTTTTGTCTAGGGTGTCTATGTGTTGACTCATAGAAAGAACTTATGTCCCGTTTTTTTTCCTAGGGCATCTGTGATTTCATTCTTTACTTGCAACCCCTTGACCCACTGAGAATGTGCCCCAGTGAGGCATGGCCTGGCTGTCCCGCCCAGTATCACCTCGTCTTCCTACAGCACTTCTGGACCCTTTGCCCTCATCCTGAGAAGCTACTTTATGCCAAACATAGTTCCCCATGCCTGAGGGTCGCGTTCTGGAATTCCTGCTCTGTTCCAGTTATCATGTGCTCGTGTGGCAGTGTGTTGTGACCACATGCTGCTCTAGGCCCCGACGGGGGAATACTTCTTTTTCAGAGTCTGTTTTTATATTTTGGTAGGAATTTTTGGACCAATGATCCTACCCCAAAACAAAGCAAAACAATACCCAAAACGCCTGTTTTAAAAGTGCGCTTGCCTCCACTGTCGGTGTGAGACACACCTGCGGAAGGTGGCCATTGTGCCGGGCACCGCCCCCTCCTCTCCTGCCAGCACTGGCGTGCGCAGGAGTCAGCTCAGTGGCACTCACACCCACGACAGCAACGCAGACCAGTGAGCTTCTGGCAGAGCCCGCTGGCTGTCGCTGTGGGCTCCAGACCTGCAGTCAGCGCGGCCCTGTGCCACCGGCTGGCACTCAGGCACCCACTGCCAGGAGCCTCACCAGCGATAGCAGCGATAAGGCATGTGTGTTCTCGCTTTAACCCTCACTGAGAAGCAGGCAAGAGGACACCATGAGGCCTTCCAGGAGTGGATTGAGCCTAGGGTGAGGGGCGGATGTGGTCACTGCAGGACCAAGGCCTAGGCATGGGGGTCCCCTGGCACTCTCTCACCTGTACAGTGGTGGGGGAGGCATCTGGCCTGGGCTTTCCAGGAGAAAGGTCTGCTCCAGGTGGGCCTGCAAACCTCCAGCATTTTTGTTGGCAGTAGAGTGGCAGCCAAGTGGCAAGTCCCTTCCGCCCCAAGGGCAGGGCCTTTTGCTGCCTCCGAGCTGTGGGCCCCGGTTTCCCTTGGAGGCTGCAGATAGGGGTCCTAACAGCCGCTGGCTCAGAAGACAGGTGGCCTCCAGAGCGAGGCGTGCAGGTGCTGCCATGGAAGTCTCCCGGGCCAGCGGCCACGGAGCAGAGTTCTCTGTGGGTAAAGGGCAGCTCAAGAGCAGGCAAACAGCTGGGGACTGGGCACAGAGGCCAGGGCACCGAGGGAAGCTGCTGCTGAGCACCCCGTGCATGACCGTCCCCTGCCCCATCTGTCCCCTTTTGACAGACACCGTGGCTTCCCTCTGCCCGCCGAAGCCTGCTCTTGTGACCCAGGGCATCCTGTTAGCTTGATGGCGTCTTCTGCTTTGTCTCTTTGGAGAGACAAATCCCCAGTGAGGGGGGTAGTTGGGGGTAGGGGGCAGGCAATGAGATGGGCTGTCAGAGGTAGCCCCCCCTTCCACCGAGGGGCTCTCAGCCTGCTCCCCAGGGCACTGGTGCTCCCAGGCTGAGTGAAAAGACCTAGTAGGAGACAGAAAAAGCCCTGGTCTGCAAGCACCGCCCTCCCCTCACACCCACCCAGGCAGAAAGGCTCTGCTGTCAGGCATTGTGCAGGTGCTCTTGGAGGCAGGAAGCCCACTCACCTGGTGGGGACTGGCAGTTTGGCCAAGGCTGGCTGGAGGAGATAACTGGGAGCCTGCCCTTTGGACAGCAGGCAGAGCTGGAGGGGAGCCACCTAGGAGTCTGAGCCGAGTCCACAGGGGCTGGAATGGGCGCCCCGCGAGCCTGCTGCACTGGCAGGTGGGTGCAGGCCTGCTGCGCCCTGGGCGGGTGGGCGGGGGCTCAGAGGGAGCACGGCCCACCTGCCCCCGGCGGGCCTCGCTCTCCAGCCTTGCCTCTTGCAGCCTCTTGCAGGGAACACACCGTCCCCGCCCGCCCGCCCGGCCTGCGGCTTGGGCAAGAGGCGCGTGTGGGACGCTGTGTTCCCTGATAAGATGAGGCAATCCCGCTCGGCTGCCTCGCCGCGGCGCCAGGGAACATTTATGTAACTGCTGCCTGGCCCCCACCTCCCGCCCCCTGTACATCCCCGCCCATGCCCCCACTCTCTGCCTCTCTGTGTGCCCCCTGCACCCCCTAGCCACCCCTCTCTGCATTCCCAGCCCGCACCCTGCCCCACTCCCCAAGCTGTCCCCTCACTGTGCACCTCTGCTCTTCCTCCGACTGGCCGCTTCACTACACCCTGCTGGGGCCCACACCTGCCTGGAGCACGCTGCCCCTTAGCTGCCACAGCACTGGGCAGCTGCTTTTCCTCTTCAAGCACCCTCCCTGCGCTCCGCCAGTTATCTCCCTCATTGGTGACTGTGCCCAGCCACCTCCCTCGCTGCAGCACCCTCTCCTGCCCTCCCCAGCAGTCCTCCTGGCTGTGTCCTCTCTACCTGCCCCAACTCTCAACTCTCTCCCACTGGGCACCCCATTCCACATGCCCTACTCCAAGCGCCCCCTGGTGCTGGAAACCTGCCCCCCGCCCCTTAACGTGCCAGACCCGGTGCCAGCCTTTCAAGCTGCACTGCCCAGCCCCTTCCCACACCTCTCTACCTTCTGTCAGGTACTGCAGGGGTGTGTGTGGGGGGTGGGGGCACCACCCCAGCAAGGCCTGGCTCCTCCCCTAGCTTCTGATTCCGCAGCCCCCACACAGTTCCCCAGCGCTCCCCCAGCTTCCCTCCTGCACACCAGTTCCCTGCAAGACCTCTGATCTTTCCTCCCTGCTCCACACCCCCCCACCCCGCCCCAGGATCCTCTAGTTCCAAGATGCCCTGCGATCCTCCCGTCTTCAGAGAGTGGGGGTGCCAGTGTCTATTCTGGCTTTTCCCACACTTAGGCTTAGGCTGCAGGGGTTCTGGGATCTGAAGTCAGGTTTTCCTTGCAGGGAGGCCGCTGTCTCCTGAAAGAGCGGTGGCCTGTGCTCCTGCTTCTCCCTGCCACAGGCCCTCGAGGAGGCGAGTACAGAAAGTGAGCCCAGTGAGAGGAGCCTGGGTGTGTTTAGGCCAGCACACCAGCTCCCGCAGGGCCTGCGGGGTCCCGCCATACCACCTGGGGTCAGTCTCTTCAGTTTGCAGAGTGAGGCCCAGGGACACCTGCATGCATCCAGACCCGTCTATCAGACTATGAGGCCAAACTGTTTTCTTAACAGCAATGCGATTTTTCCTTTATTCTCTCAAAAGAATGCAGTGGATTATTCGAGAGGCTACTCGATGTGTGATGACATCATCCCTCCAACAGCTACTGGAATGCGTGCTTGAGTTTAGGCCTTTTTCAACTTTAATTTCTAAAGATGATATGCATGGATATGACCCACAAACACAAACGAACAAAAGCTCTTGGGTTCCACACCAAGCACGTGAGCAGTGCTGTTCTGGGGGGCCCTTCTCTGTCCCCAGCCCAGGCTGCTTTTCCTAACCTGCTCTCCATGTCCCTGGCTACGCTCAGCCTCCTTGAATGTCATCACGCTCACAAGCCAGCCCAGCCAGACCCTGCTGTGAGTCCGCGCCAGAGTGAATCATAACTGCTAAATGTTTTATCCTTCTGGTTGTGGACCGGTTTATTGGCTGTCTCCCCTTCTAGAATGGAGCGGGGAGGATCCTGTCTCTCTTGTCTGTCTGTCTGCACCTGGCTGTCTGCATCACCACCATGTCCCCAGGGCCGGGCATCAGGTGTGCCTTCTATAAACGTCAAGCTGCTCTGCCCAGGCAGGCCAGTGTTTGTGCCAGCCGGTGGCAGGCTGGGCTATCCCCCTCCTGGCACCCACACCGTCCTGTTGACCGCTGGAGTGGTTCTGACGTATCACATACCATAAGCCCCTCTCATTGTTGCTCATCGCCATAGTTTGCTTCAAATTTGTACCACAGATTTCTTGCTTGTCTTCCCCTTTTCCTAAAGTGCCGAATGGCCTCTTCTTTTTTTCTCTTGAGAAATAGTATGTGCTTTCACTGTATCCTGGAGTTTGCTCAACCTCCTGATACTCTGGCCACCAAGAACCTCTTTCTTTTTGGAACTGTCCTCCTGTGAGTCTTGACCAGTTAGTCTTGGCCAGCTGTAGTGGCCGCTGGTTTCCACCTTGCTTTTTCTTATTATTCAGCCACTCCCCTGACTTCTTGGTTTACTCTCATCTTTTTTTTGCTGGAGTGTAGCGGGTAGACTTAGAAAACCTCATAGCTCTGTCTGCCAGGACCAGTGTGACTTGTGAAAATCTGGCATTTGTCCCACCCTTGTGGATGACTTGATAAAGAGAGCAAATTGCCACACACAGCCCCAAACACTGTGACTTTCATGTATTTTCCAGAGCCGTTTTTTGTTTCTGTTTTTCTGGACTGTTTCCTTCGGTATTATACTCCCAGCCTTTCATGAAATTTTTGTTTGGGTAATGTTTCTTTCAAAGTTTAAACACTATGAAGTTCTCTGAACTTCCTTTCTACGAAATCCTGCTTGTTTTATGCATAAAATTCTGTCTGAAATGTCTTTGGAAACTAACTAGAATTTTAGGTTAATATTCTCTTCTGTTTCCTGGCTACACTCTTCTTCCTCTGGAATCAGTGTGTGTGTTGCTCTAGCTTTGCTCTTCCTGCGGCTGGTTTTTCGTGGCCATCTAGCCATCCCTGCGTGTCTTTTTATATTTCAGGTTGATGGCCTCATTTGGGGTGAGTGGTGTGGGTTTCCTCTGGCATAGGTGGTTCAGCCTCAGGAAAGACTTAGGACCCGAGTGGAGGTGGGGAGGAGGGATGGAGCAGGAGGGTAGGTGTGTGGCCACCCCTAGTGCCACAAGAGCTGCATTCTGGGAGATCAGAACCCCCTGCTGGAGCTTCCCAAGTAGTTGCTGCCTTTTTCCATAGTTCATACTTCCGCCTGGGTAACAGCTAGCCTGTCCCTAGCTCTGAGCAGGGGGTGGGAGGAAGGGGCAAGGTCCTGATGAAGCTGACCTTCCTGACCTCCCTCTCACTGGCCCTCTGGGCAGCTACCCTGCAAGGGTCTGCTGAAGCCACTGTAGTCTCCTGCCCTGCTGACTGTTCCTATGGCCTTGTTGGAACAAAGCGGGGAGACCAAAGCCATAAACCACACAGCCCCGGGAGCTGCCCTATCTGACCTGTTGTATCAGAAGTGAGACTGAGCAGGGCTGGAGTGATGGCAGATTGGGGGGTCTCTGGGCCCTGCAGGGGTTCTGAGCCCTGGGCTATGGCTTCTGTGGGACCAGCATGGGGTGGCAGGACTCCTGCAAGCATGCGATTCCATGCTGGATCCTGCATCCTTTCCTCCTGACTTTTCTTATTAGAGCCAGAGACCAGGGTGGTGCTGCCCATAGGCTCGGTCACCATGTACTTGGGGGTGCCTTGTGCTGGGGAGAGGGGGTTTGGGGGGCTGGGCTGCTGTATCCAACATGCTGCTGCTTTGTCCTGGATGTCAGTGCCCATCTTGAGTGTGCCCTGATGGTTCTGTGGGGGAGGCTGGGAGATGGGTCCCGGGGATGGGGGCGGCAGGTCTCGGTCCCGCCGGGCAGAGCGCGGGTCTCTGCACTGAGACTGACCCCTGCCCTGTCTCTGCAGGTGAGCGGCCCTTCGCCTGCAGCTGGCAGGACTGCAACAAGAAGTTCGCGCGCTCCGACGAGCTGGCGCGGCACTACCGCACGCACACCGGAGAGAAGAAGTTCAGCTGCCCGATCTGCGAGAAGCGCTTCATGCGCAGCGACCACCTGACCAAGCACGCCCGCCGCCATGCCAACTTCCACCCTGGCATGCTGCAGCGGCGTGGCGGCGGGGGCTCGCGCACCGGCTCGCTC